TTCTACCAGAGAACAATCTGTGTTTACCAAAAACACCTTTTTTATAGTGCACTATTTTGTAACTCTACCAAAGAGTTAAGTCTGCTTACCAAAAGCAGCTACAGGTTATCACGGGTCTATATAGACAATACAGAATGATTCAAGACCTTCCCTCAACACAGGGCAAGAAAGAGCTTTTAGTCATAAAAAGACAAAAGGTTTACTTACCAAGTGAGGTGGGTGGTCATCCCGGGCTGAGCCCCCAGCTGAAAGGAATGATTTTCTTTTCCCCTCAGAGACCCCCGGTCTGTGGAGAGATTCCTGGTTTATCAGCAGAATTCTGGGAACACCCCTTGAACACGGGAATAACGGCAGTTTATGTTCAGAGATGTTCAAAGTTTATTAGACATTAATAAGATTATATAGACTACAGATAATAATAAGGGAGGGGGGAGCGAGTTTCAAAACTGTAACTTGTAAATTTCCATCATGAGCTAACTACATGAAACATAACATATACATTTCTTGGTACAAATTGTTTTGGCTAACTTTCTGGAAAAACAGCCAGACAAAGACATTGTCAGGGTCATGTTAGCTTCTGTTGATACATCCTTGAACAAACCAAAAACAGTTTCATTAAACTTTTAATATTTCTGCAAAAAGCTAACTTAATACTTAAAATGGCATACATAATACAAAATGGAAGTTATCTAGATCCTTTCACTCATAAACGCAATATGCAAATGTGGCTAAACAGACGTTTTTAACCCACGTTTTCCAGCAGTCAGTTTACATCGTTCAGAAGTGTCTCGTGTACATGGAGCCTTATACATTATGTATAAAAAGCAACTTGGGGTTATTCTGCTGCCTACAGGAAGAATGGACATTAGGCACATACGTAGAAGCTAAAGGCCAGCCCTATGCCTGCTCAGTTACTGTATGCATAGTGTCCTCAGGAGAATGGATGTCTCCTTTCTCTCTTATAGTTTTTCAATGGAAGTGAAAGAGTTTTCTACAGTCAACAGCTGCTGGTAGTTTCATGCTGTATATTGAAGGACCTGGAAGTCTCTCCAGCTATCCATCTGTGTTAAAAAGGTCAGACCAGTTGTCTGGGGATTACATGCAGAGTACTTAGGACTAGAGCTGTGGCAGTTTCACCTGTCATCAACTCGAAAGACTCACTTCTTGTGATTGGCTATTGCAAGTCCATGGCTGTGTATTATCAGTTTTGCTTACAATGTGCCGGAGTTGGTTTTTTTTTTTTCTCCGTTGACAGTCTGTTCCCAGTAAATCAACTTATTCACTCTGTAGGCTGTCTGAGACTCTGCTGAATGGATCCTTCAGGAGCAGTTTGAGTAGGTGGTATTTTTCACTGGTATGACTGTGATGGCTATGAGCAGAGTTTTCCCAGTTATCTTACAAAAACCTCAATGCTTTAAACAAACAGCACTTTTACCAGTATGATTTCAGCTGCCCCACATATATACAGTATATAGTATGTGACATAGGATGATACTGTAACACCAGCAGAGCTTTGCATCTTCCCATGTCATGGCCATGTTTTAATGACTCTTTCTACCATTCAGGTACTGTTGGACCAGAGAGTTATTAATTCTGTTTACACAAACCTGTTTCTAGTTCCAAGATCCAGAGTTGGCATTCGTCCCATCCTTAGTTTTAAGGATCCCAATACCTTTTTTATTCAGTCAGTCATTGCATCCCTTCATGGCAGACTTCTTTGCATCAATTGCCATAAAGGATACAGTATGTATTGACCCATTCCCATCTTTCCAGGTCACCAACCTTTTCTTTGCTTTGCTATAGGTGACAACCATTATCAGATTTTGTCCCTCACGGAATTAGACAAATCCACTGTTTCCCTGGACAAGATTATTAGGTTACATCCTCAAACCAAGTTGTCTCTGTCATGGTGTTTTCTGTCTTTCGCACTGTTGAAAAGCAAGGTTTTTTCTGTCCTTATGTTGGAAAATTGTCAAGATGGATGGTGGTATTTTGGATTGGGACAGAGTTCTGGACCATTTGTCTGTTCAGAGTTTTTGAGAGGATCTGTGGAGAAATACAAACTTCCAGTCAACACCCTGTTTGCATTTTTGGACTCTCCTGATCAGTTACCTATCCTGGGGTTATTTGAACAATACCACAGCTCTGGTTTTATATCTATCATCAGGGGATACCAGGAGTGTTGTGATTGAGTTAAAAGCTATCCTGTCCTGGGTGGAGATGCATATTCCACAGATATCTGTGTAGCACATTCCTGGATGAGGATCTGGTAGGCATATTTTATTGCAAACAACCTCTGAACCCAGAGGAATACTCTCTCCATCAGAAGGTGTTTCGGAACATATATCTGTGTTGGGGGACACTGGATGTGGATCTGCTAGCATCACGGTTTAACAAGAACTAGACATATTTGTTTCCAGGACACTGGACCTGATGGTGGATGTGTCAAATGCCCTGGTAGCACTGTGGGATCTGAATGCCTTACATGTGCCTTTCCTCTGCTACCTTAAAGGATCAAAAGCAATGGGTGTTTCCGTCATTCTCATAGCTACGGATTCGCCTCACGGAGTGCGGTAGGCCAACCTTGTTCATCTGTTAGCTGACACTGGTCTGTGTCTGTTGGCCTGTACTAGATTGCCTTTATCTGGCATCCTGAGGACCAGTCTTTCACACTGCTTCTTGGTTGAAACCCTGGATCTGAGAGACTGAGGTATTGCGGATTCTTTTAGCCAGACCATGCCTAAAGCTTTAAATATTTATGTTGCAGGATTTATCACATACGAAAGGCTAATTTCCACTGGTGTGAGTTCTTTGGGGCTTTCCCCACATGCTTTTTCAGTGGGCCATGTACTTTTTCTTGCTGTTGGGGGTAGAACAATGTTCAATTCTTAGCACCATCGAGGGTCAGGTGCCTGACCTGTCTGTTTTGTTTTTCTTTTCATTTTCCTGCTACTAATTGCTACTAATTAATTAATTTCTACTTTTGCTCAAGGAGTTGCAATGTACATATAGTTCACCCTGTTAAGCCCCCATTCCAGCTGTTGAAATTAAATCTAGTATTGTTAGCATTACAGAAAACCCAATTTAAGCTTATTCTGCACATTTTCCTTGAAATTGCTAATCCTGTAAGGTAGCCTTTATCTAATACATTACTATTATTATACAGTATTTATAAAGCGCCAATAGTTCGCTCAGCGCTGTACATTACAAAGGGGGACAGAACATACATTTTTACTGTAAATGTTTCTTTCTGAAAATCCATTGAGGACACGGCTTACGCTCATATGCTGTCTTTCCTCTTTGGACTGCTTGATGCAGCTGTGAACTGGGGGGTTTACAGCCTCTAGGCGGCTGACTTTCAGGTTCTGTGTGCCTAGGGTTCATTTCTCTTATAGGTGGCTGCATAACTTTAGATTGCTTACTTGTCATAACACTGTGTCCCTCAACTCCATGAAAAGGATTTGACGGTGAGTACAAAATATAGTTTTTGCAGATTCAGTGGAAGATTAAAGGGGGGATTATGTTTTGCACCCTATTAAATTGTATTTGTACTTAACTGTATTTATTTAGTCAACTATAATCTTGTGCAATGCAGCTTATGAGGCTTATCCTGACTGTGACTGAGCCCCTTTCAAGTGTTTTCATTCTTCCTGCATGTGAATGGGCAGATTGCTTAATCACAAGATCATTTTTTTCTGCTTTCATTCAGAGTATAAAGTCATAATACTGGCATGGTACTTCAGCCTTCCTTTTTACTTTCATAGGGTGCAATGACTAAGTTGTCAGAGAGTCTTGAGACTGATAAAGAAACTCCATGTTGTTTATCAGCATCTTGAACATTTGGAGTTACTGTCTTAAAAAAACTATATCCTTAGTTTCACTCTGTCTAATAACATTGACTATTTTTAATCCTATGCTGCAAGCATTAGTAAATGGATAGGATGGTATATTAAATTACTTTTTTAAAACATTTAAACTTTTTTTGTGAATTTCTTCAGTTACTTTCCAGGCTTAGGCAAATGATGTCATACATCCCAGGAGTCTTCAGGAGAGGAGCAGGGGTTTTCTCAGCAAAGCACACCCTCCTGTCTGCATGCCTGAGCTAAGGGTAGACAGATTTCAGGAAGTAAATTCTATATGAATCGTCTGCCCTTACTCAAGATGGCCACTGAAATGCTAGTGGGTGTTTTTCAAAGTGATTTCACAGCAAAAAAAAAAAAAACATGGAGACATGGATGGATGGATGGGTAAATTTTCTGTGAATGTTAAAATGTTACTAAACCCAGGACCCTGCATCATTCACTCTATCTGGTCTCCCACAGTACACAGAACATGGAAATGCAATTATTTTAGTAAAAAAATAAACTGCTAAATACTTCTTCTCATTAGCAGTTAGAGCAGTCTTTTCACTTCTATCAGTGTTCAGCAGAGCACTGGTTAAAGTTTGTGGGAGGAGTTTCCTTTCTGCTCTGAGAGGATGCAGAACCCCTGACCTCTGTCTAAACAGTGCTAATTTGCCCTGTGCTAATCACATGCACTTTCCCAAGAAGAAAAAAAACTCTCTAGCGATACACACCAAACTGAGCATGGGCAGAGTGTCTCCATACGATATGTCTTATTTGATGATAAGAGGGGGACATTGGAAGAAGGGGAGGATCAGAGAAGACAGGATTAAATAGCCTTTTAACACAATACGGAGGATTAACCCTTTAGGTTGCACAATGAGTATAACGAGCATTATTTACTGCATATACAGACCGATTTTACTGTTGTGGGTTTAAAAATGAATTGAATAGCGTTTTTGGTTTGTGGTGCTCAGACGCAGTGTAGCTCCAATTTAACATCCACTCCACTGGTAAATTTATCCATGAAGTAAATCCACTAGATATAAGTTCAAATTGTTTGTCCAATTAGAAGTGTCTCCAAGGTATGGTAATGTACTTTTTAAATTTCTTTACAATGTAATCATCCTTCCTTTTTTTTTTTTTTTGTTAACACAGAAATTGGAGGCAAAATCTCTTATAAAGTTGAACATTGCCAAGAACCAGGATGGTAAGTTGGTGAATAAAGTGTAACTATAGGCAAAACTAAAGTTAATTTTGCAACCTTACCGATAAACAACACTGAATGTAAAGATGTCAAGTTAAACAGTGTTTTCTGCCAACCCACTGGTTTCTGCTGCCCCTTTAGTATCCTGCAACTGATTTAGTCTAAACAGTTCTTTACCACAGACCCTCTTCAAAGTTTATAACTTTCTTTGAAATGCATGGATAGCTTATTTTGTCCTAATTTTGTTATTCTTAAAAAAGTGCTTTTCCTGCAAGAACTGCACTGTGAAGTACATGAAAACTGCAGTGCAGTTCTACTTAATAGTTGATGATGACTGTCACTTGCCATCAGCAATTGTTGAGAATCCTATCTGTTTTGATGTTGTTTTTTCTCTTTGTTTTATATACATATTTTTTTTGTACCTGTTTAGGCAAGTATCACTGCCCTGTCCTCTTCTCTGTATTCTCCAATAACTCACACATTGTGGCTATTGGTAACGCCGGAAACGTCTTCTGCTATGAGGTAGGGAAGTATAAACATTGCAGCCTCTAAACATTGGAGTTAATGTGCAACCACTTAATGATAGAACACTTGCTTTGTAGCTTGCATAGAGTACTGTTGTAAACGTGAGACATGCTTGTAAAATCTGCTATTTGATTTACGTTTAAGGATATATTTTGTTGCTTATACATCTGTGTTTGCATTAAAACAATGTGTGCAACTTCCCCACCCAGGCTGTCGAACAATTAAACATTAAGCCGAAGAGCTACAAAGATCTACTAAGTGATGAACCCTTTACCCGCCAAGACATTATAACTCTACAGGTAGGAACTGGCATCATCCAGTCCTCTGAGAGGTCAAAAGCTGTAACAGTTGTACATGAATGCACCTCTGTATTCACACACAAGAAAGTTACTATTATGCCAGTTTTTAAAATAGTGTTTGTTTTTAATGCATTCTGGTGGTTGGTTTTCCCTAAAGGACTGTAAGTTTAGTTTTTTGTTTTTTTTGTTTTTTGTTCAGAAACAGAAGATTCCCAGAGAAAACATTTAAAACTAATTTCTGTCCTTCACATTCTCACTTTAGTGTATCTTTGATACGATAAAGGAAATATTAAGAAATGTTGATTGTGCTTAAGCAGTTCGATCATCCATTGAGGGACATAAGAATTTAGAAACAGGTTATGCTGCCAACTTCAGGAGATTGGGACACTGGCAAAAAGAGAAATTGTAAACCAGCTCTTGTATAATTCCTCCTCTACCCAGCATGCCTTAGTTTCTTTTCTAGTTACCATCTAAGGTGAACTAATTTTTTCTAACCTTCTAATGTTGTGATATTTTTACCTTGGTGACTTTTATCAAGATTCTTGGCTTCATTGGCTTCTATTTTTTCTAGATTTCAGAGGGTCTAGTATTCTAATTTATTTCTTTAGTATACACACTATGCAGTGTGCAAACTAAAAGTATTTGAGGCAGTTATTTACAGTGGTTGAGGAGTGAAGATGATATTTTGAGTACTTTCTGAGACCAGGCAGCCTTTTACATGTCTGTGTATTTTTATTACTCAATCACTGGAATCCGGTTTGATGTAGTTCCACCTTGGGTTTTCTGTGGTAATTATTAATTTAGAAACAGTAGGAATATGGCACATAGCCACTGATTTTGTGATTGCACTTTTAGGGGTGGATGTGTCAATAACTGAATTTTACAGCCATAGTTAGTCTTATTATTCAGCACTGGCTTAGAACTCTGGGGGTGAGACATGTAATAGTAACTAATTGCATTCTGTGAGGCAATAGACGATGCATGGTTACTTAAATAAAGCTTTAATGTGTAACATAATGAGGCACAATGCGTCTGGTTGTCTTTTACTTCAGTTGTAAATCATTGACACTGCACAAAGCATGCAAATGGACAGGATGTACATGAATCAGGCAGCGTGGTGGTACCACATGTAAAATTTTCAGTCGTCAATTTAAAAATCAAAGCTAAAAAGACACGTGTCAGGAGCAATACCACCTCCTGAACCCCAGCCAGTCACTGCTTTACCACCCTCTGATTTCTAATGTGGTAGTATAGCCTTCGGTTTTTCTGGTACAATAATTTTTTATTAGTTTTTTTCCTTTTTTGTTTTTAAAGAATAACAAAATACAAACAATCAGTAAATAAGGTCCCTTGCAGGGGACCGAGGTCAAATGAACAATACAAAAACCAACACATAGACAGGTTAGCCCTCAACAAGGAGTGCCCCAAAGTAGGGCACATATCCCTTATTGAAAACACCAGCCTACCAGGCTCCACTCCAGACCTCCAGGGCCAAGCAGATAGCGAGATCACGTTCCCATTTTAAAACCTAAGAATGGGAGCCAGAAGGATGGTTCGTGAGAAGGTGTGAATAGATTAAGGAGTGGGTGCCAGGAGAATACTGACAAACGTGCTCAAAGGCTGTTTTCCGGAACGGAAATGCGGAATCGAGGCGAGGGGAGGAGATCCAGTGTCTAAGCTGCATATAGTGGTACCATTCCGCCTGAGGGGCTTTATGAATTTTGTGAATGGAGGAGCAAGAAGGAATTGAACAGGAATTCAAAAAGTGGCGTACTTCGGAGTAACCATGGGCGGGCCACCAGGCAAAGACATGGGTTGTGCCAAGCCCGGAGGAAACTGGGTTATTCAATAGGGGGAGAAAGGGGACATCAGTTTGGACAAGTGGCGAATCAAGTCCCATACAAGTAAGCTATGAGTCATAAGGGGGCTAAGAGGGGAGGAGGGAGCCAAAGAAGGGCCGAAACCGTGACAGGAGCACAGTCAGGGATTTCTAGCAAGACCCACAGGGGGATGTCTTGAGGTAGCATGTAGCAATGTTAATTGAGAAAGTTGGCCTGCTAAGTAGTATTTCATTACGTTGGGAACCCCAAGGCCCCCTCTCAACCTGTGGGCATAAAGAGTGGTGCGTGCCACTCTGGGGCTTTATTGGCCCAAATAAAAGTCAGAATCTTATTTTGGAGAGATCACATAAAGAAAGATGGAATGCGGACTGGGAGGGTCCTGTAAAAGTAAAGAAGTTTAGGGAGCACAGTCATCTTGATTGTGTTGATCCGCCCTATCCATGAGAGGAAATATGCCAAGAGTTCAACAGAGACATTACTGTACGCAGGAGGGGATTGTAAGCCCAGGATTTTTTAACCGGGGTGCCGCGGCCACATCTCAGTCTGAGCGCTACTGTTTTAACTCCCATGCACTGTGAGGAGAAAGAGCGCATGGCTTTCTCCTCCCTGCAGCTACAGGTTTTATTGCCATCAAAGCAGAAAGCTGTGCGGACCCCTCCCCACCCACATCCTACCAACCAATGACGTCATCCATTGAGAAGGACACGTCGGGCAGATCTACAGCTTTGTTTTGCTAGCAATAGTACCCGTAGCTGCAGGGAGGAAGAGAAAGTTGTGGGGAGTGTGCTCTCTCTCTCTCTCTCTCTCTCCCTCCTTGCAGAATCGCAGTGGATGGGAGTTGTACAAAGGGGGGGGATTTGGGGGAGGATTGAGAACAGCCCACATTTGTGCTGGGAGGGGGGAATTTGGGGGGGGGTTGTTGTACTAAGTGGGGCGAATTGAGGGGATTGAGCACAGCCCACATTTGTGCTAAGAGGGGGTATGGGGGGGGTGGGATTTGAGGGGTTTGAATATGCCTGCAATCAGGACCATAAGCAATGTAAGGATACCAGAGTCGCAATTTAAGAGGTAAACATAACATAAGGTACTTTTTTGGCCGCTGTCATTCAACCCATATATCCCAAACCTTTTGAAATTTTTGAGGACATTCCCTAGCATGGTATGTAGCTTTATATAGAGGTACTACAGAATTAACTAGTGTTAAGTAGAAAGAGTGGGGACAGTAGCAGATTGCCTATTGCCTTCCGAGCATAAAACCGCAGTAGGCCAAGTAGGGTCCTAACCGCTCTAATGTGTGCTAGAGCTTTCATCAGACCTAGAATACATCTCTGCTAGGAGTGAAATCCGTATGGTAGTTACTTTAAATAAAAAAATGCACTCCTGCACCTGATTCCAATATTGCTGAATGGAGGGGCACATCCAGACCATGTGCAAAAAATCTGGATCTGCCATGCATCTCTAGCAAACTGGGGGACAATTGGGGTAAATTTTGTGACATTTTCTTGGGGTATCATAGATGCAATGAAGCAATTTGAATTGTTTGTTCTGGTGGAGACCAATTGCTGAAATGGGCTCTCCCAAACATCCTCCCAGTCTTCACTATCCAAATCCGGGACAACGTCCTCCCAGAATGCTCGTAAGTGTTCCAGACCATGGTGTACAATGGGTTGCAATGCCTTATATATTGTGGATAGGGGCTTCACCAGGACTTCATCTCGAAGTAATTGTTCCAAAGTGGAGGAGTGGACAGCTAGGGCAGAATTTCCAAATTGAACCTGATAAGCGTGTCTCGTTTGAAGAAACCTAAAAAAGTAATGTGTTGGTTGGAGATTAATTTATGTCTTTATGGAGTCAAATGTTTTGAATATGCCATTCTAGCTGAGCTAAGTATTTTATTCCTCTGGAAGTCCACAATGAGGGGTCAGAGATAATTTGGAATTCGGGGAGGGTTGGATTGAGCTATAAGTGCATGTAAAGCGAGAAGGACACGGAGCCATTCGTCCCCTTGGGTATGACCGTTTGCCAAGCCTGGACCACTGCCTTCATTGACTGCATAAGTTGGAAGGGATCTGTAGTTCCCCCTATACAATATATTGCGAAGTGCCACATAGGATCCCAAGTGGTCAGCCTCCAGCAGTACAGCAGAGTTCATGTCATAGGATATCAACCAATTGTGTGCATGTGTTAGCATGGCAGCAATTAAATATTTGTAAAAGTCTGAGTCCAAGGCCTTTGCAGTAACAACATTCTAAAGTGAGGCTGGCTAGAACCCCATAAGAAGCTAGATATACTTTAGTGAATGCGCGTAAAAACAATGTGCGGTATCCATACAGGATAGCATGACGCGTAAAAACAATGTACGGTATCCATACAGGATAGCATGGCACGTAAAGAACTAATGGGAGTATTTTAATCTTAAGCAGATTTATTCTGCCTATCAGGGACAAAGGAAGGTTACTCCAGGCCTTTAGACGCAATTTAATATTGGATAAGAGGGGATGTATATTTAGGCTACAGAAATCTGTTACCTGCGGGGAAATGAGGATACCCAGGTATTTGTTTGTCAGTCCATTTCAAGGACATAGAGTCTGCAGCCTAGGGCGCCTCCGAGTCCACAGAAAGAATCAGGGATTTGACCCAGCTGACTCTAAGCCCAGAGAACTAAGCAAATTCAGATAAAAGTTCTTGGGCCACCTTAAGCGACAGACCTGGGTCGCTAAGGAAAAGTATAAGATCATTGGCGTACAATGCCAGTTTTTCCTCAATGGACCCAATGCATATACCTTGGACTTGGGAGGCATGTGTGAGAGCAACCATTAAGGGTCCACCATTTGGAGATGCCTTTAAAGCTGTTTGCGGTGTTTCAGAATAGTCCAGTTCTCATGGAGAGTCTCCGCAACATCGTATTTTGGCATCATAGTGATATTTAAAAGAAAGGGGATGCTATACCGTGGTAAATATGACCCTGTCCCAACTGTTTGAGAAGTGTTGCTGCCATCAATTTCAAATATACCTTATTTTCTTCTTAAAATGGTACATTTTCTTGTCTTTAAACATTTAGTATGTTTACTATTGTTAATAAAAATTTGGGTTTATGAGATTTGCAAATCATTGCTTTCTATTTTGTGTAATTTTACACAGTGTCTCAACTATTTTGGA